ACACACACACACACACACATATATATATATATATATATATATATATATATTTATTACACACACACACACACGCACACACACACACACACATATATATATATATAGATAGATAGATAGATAGATATATATATTTATACATACACACACACGCCCACACACACACACACACACACATATATATATATATATATAGATAGATAGATAGATATACATAAATATATATATTGCCCCATGCACACACACACACACACGTACACATATACATATATATATATATTGCCCCCATGTAAAACACACATACACACATATATATATATATATATATACTACCCCATGCACACACACACACACACATATATATATATATATATATATATATATATATATATATATATATATATATAAAAGACATTTTTATGTTTATACATTCTTTTTATAGATAAAAATATTTAAGAAAATATAAATTATAATAAACATTTACCGGCCTGAATGTCCGAGAAATTTTCATAGAAAATATTCGTCCTGCGACAGGAATCGAAACTGTATCCTATACGGAACCGTCATATAGGCTGACGTGCCTTAATCGATTCGGCCACATATCTGTATGTACACCTGGAATTATTAGCAGAATAAAAAAAAGACCTTATACAACTTGAAGATATTAAAAACACGAATGATAACATTCATCGAGTTGTTCGTGGGTTAATGTAACTTTAATAAATTTGTTTGCAAAGATGTTTTCGCTATTTATATCACTAACTTTACTAATCTACTTTTTGAAAATGTATATATATGAATTATACACGCTTCAAAAGTTTGTATCCGTTAACAATAATACAATTCAAAGAAAACAATTCGCATTTAATGCTACCTGAAATTTACCAAAAACAAAATAATGTCCATGCCTGAAGATGACTGAATGTACTGTTGAAAGTACTTGAGTATAAAAGAAAGACCTTATACAGCATATAATTTTTAAAAACAATTATAACATTCATCGATTGATTTGTAGGTTTAAGCAACTTTAAAATTTAGTTTGCGAAGGGATTTCGCCATTTTATATCACTAACTTTACTAATCTACTTTTTGTGTAATATAAATTGAACTGGGCAACATATTTCATATATATATATATATATATATATATATATAATAAAAAGGGTTAAACACTAATAGTAGTGTTTAAGCCTTTTTATTATATCCTTACTTTGTCCCGGACATTGAGTTCTACCTGGATTATATCCTCTTGGGTTTATTTTTTATACAAATATATAGGTATGTGTATGTATGTATATATATTTCTATATTTTATATATATGATTGCATATATATGTATATATTTACCACTAATATCTTCTCTCTCTCTCCCTATATATATATATATATATATATATATATATATATAGTTATGTACCTATATATATATATATATATATATATATATATATATAGTTAGTTTATGCAAATTTAGGTAATCCGTATGGGTAGACCTGAGGAGGATGATATCCAGAGAGCTCAATGTGAAATTCAGAGCAGATATGTTTGAATAAAAGACAGACCACGTTAAGATTCCATGTAATAAGCTATTTCACCATAACCCCTTTAACAGGGTTCTGCATCATCAGACTTTACTTCCAAAAGCTGAAATGAAAAATGAAAAGAAATTCACACGTTTTTGACGGACCTCATCAAGTCTACGCAAAGTTAACGAAGTGAGGAAGTGAGGTGGGAGAAAGGATATGAGTGTGTCATATGTATCATTTTAGTTTCCTATTTTAACCCCAGTGTGTCGGCTGGATGTTGCTCCAATCTAACGCGTCTCGTCTCTAGATAAAGGTGGTTAAGGGGTGAGCGATAAGGACGACATTAAGGAAGACGTTACAATAACCCCAATAAATTACACGACAGGTTTCATTCAAATTCTTAGACGCTGTCAGTTCGCGTTACTTTAACGTGCATATTTGGGAGGTTAAGGTTTGATAAATATCTAAATTTTAAAACAATCTACGAAGAAATTAATTTGAAATTCGGTGGAGTTTTGGGTATTTTCTATGAAGCAGTCGATTGGAAAAATCCATAGACAGAACATTGAAAAAGTAATCAAATTTATATTTAGTACTTTTTCCACTAAAACTTTTATCTTATAGCTTGTTAGGTTGACATTTATTCGTTTGATTTTTGTTCATTAAGTAAACTCGTGATTGTTTTTGATTTTTGTTCATTAAGTAAACTCGTGGTTGTTTTTATGTATCCGATTATCAACAGTTATTCCCATTTAAATAATTTTATTTTCCACATTGGGGTAGTATCTTTCAATCTCAATTAAAATACTAGTCTAAAACTTTCCCTTCCTGCTATTTAGAATTCACTTCCAATTGGAGAATATTAGAGGAGAAATTTGGAAGAGATGTCACTAGCAGAAAATTAGGCCCTTCTTTTACATTTTCTTATCTACACATGCCTTAAACCCCTATTTGTAACCACATACCTCTATCGTCTTATATGCCTATGAGTTCCTATATACACCTACACACACATTCACACGAAACGATATATGTATATTTCCATCTTTACACATTTACATTGCGTTAATTTGTACTTACATATATCTACCCACGTATTTGTCCCTATTCTCATGTCCACTTGTGCATCCACTTATGCCTGCGTTCGAAGACTGTCTCAGTATTTAATTACATTATCTATGTTTTTACACCTATAATATTACCAGATCTTTCATATTTATGGCAAAACATATAAGTACCTAACTAATTGTACATCTCCACACTCACAAAAAAAAACCCAAAAAAAACTGGTATGCTTCTTTTTCCGTATAAAAACATACATGTACATATCAACAGGTGTCTCAGTGTGCAAATACATTATCATAGTTGTATACATACAGTCATGTGTTAGCGTTCACGTGTGCATAGTAATATTTCTAAAAACAAAGGGAATATAAGACATTCAAAATTGCTGTTCCTATATGATTATTTCTTAGTGTACTTGCTTAGGTTTAGGTTGTTTTTGTGCCGGCATTTAAAAACTAGTTCATTGTGTCTATTTAGTAGTATGTCTGGATCTTTATGTTTGATTATGAAGATTTTCTCCTTCAAACATAAGTTGCATCTGTCTCTGAAGGTTTTGTGAGTTCTGGCTCTTGATATTATTCTCCATTTTATTTGTGGTGTTAGGCCACTCTTCAACAAAAACCAATAATGATTTGATAGTGCTGTTTTTTTTTTTTTTACATTTATTTTTGAAGGATTGGCGATGGTTGTATAGTCGGTGTTTCCAATCTCCCGCTGATATTCCAATGTATATCTTTTTCTCTTCAACCTTTTCTTTGGGGAAAATTGTTGCTTCATATATTGTATAATGTAGTCCTTAACGCTCACCCCATAACCACCTTTATCTAAAGACGAGACGCGTTAGATTTGAGCAACATCCAGCCGACACACTGTGGTTAAAATAGGAAACTAAAATGATACATATGACACACTCATATCCTCTCTCCCACCTCACTTCCTCACTTCGTTAACTTTGCGTATACTTGAAGAGGTCCGTAAAAAACGTGTGAATTTCTTTTCATTTTTCATTTCAGCTTTTGGAAGTAAAGTCTGATGATCCAGAACCCTGTTAAAGGGGTTATGGTGAAATAGCTTATTACATGGAATCTTAACGTAGTCTGTCTTTTATTCAAACAAAATATATATATATATATATATATATATATATATATATATATATATATATATATATATACATTGGAAAACTCTGAAATAATAGCAAGTAAACCAGAAAATAAACCTTCATTTTTCGTTTTGTTTTCTTTAGTGGATTTTCTTTAGCGGCACATGAACATCTATCGCTTATTTAATGGCAAAATCAAAATATTTCCTACGCACTTTTTTATAATTATTGTTTTAGTTATAAGACACTTACCAATAGCTGGGGAGAGAATAGCTGGATTTTTATATTTCTGGAATGGTATTTTCGCGTAAGGGAATATAAAGAACCCAGCTGTAACTTGAACTCGAATCTCCGATTAAAAATTCCGTAGCATTGTCCATCACACCACCTGCACGTTCAAGCTTATAAAGAAGCGGTCAACTCATCCAGGCACTGACAAGTCTCGACGTTGCTTAACACTGATGATCAATTGTACAATGTAAGCACGGAAATATTAATCAAATAATCTGGATATAAAATGGGGGATCTGTTTGCTTCTCTTGTTTAGTAATAACACAATCTCTTAGAATTACTATATGTTAATATAATCATCGAGAAAAGAAACATATTTAAAAACATACACGTTAGAACGTAATTATACGAAGAAAACTGCATCGCTAAACTAGACTTAATATATTGTGGAGGGATGGTTTTAATTGTTATTAAGCAAAAAACTGTTCCCAAGAATTATATATATATATATATATATATATATATATATATATATATATATATATATATATATACATACTAATAATAAGTGGGAAAATGTATTTAAAGCTCGTATATGAAAAACCTAATAAGTATAGGAGCATAAATTGTTATTATTTTAAAGCATGCGGAAACTACTATAAGAACATATCATTTTCAATATACCTCGCTAAACGTGCTATAACAAAGCAATTATTATCCGACACGTTTTTGTTCATATTTAATTAACAATGCTTTTCGATTGGTAATATACCCTAAGATGAATACAACAAATAAAAAGCAGATAGCAATTACGGATGAGAAGCGATAATACTTTCTGGTCAGTAGCCCACCGTTCTATCAACTGAGCTGTTATACCTTGTGATGAGCACGAACTGTTGTACCTAGTGCAAGCGTCGTTCGGAATTATCACGTCTACTAAGAGAACCGTGACTGCGTGTTTTTCTACATGGTGTGAATAGTTTTCTTAATAGGAATTATCCTGAAGAGACGGCGATGAATCGAGGAAGAGGAATCAGGTTGACTTGCTACAGCAAACGAAAGCATGCACAGCGACAAACGCAGATAGAAAGACAGAGGCGAGGAGGAAAAATTGCTGAAGATGCGGCATGAGACAAGCTGGCTGCTGAAAAAAAAAAGCGACATCGGTGAGAGTTAGCAGAAGCGAGGCCTAGCAATGAAACACTAAAGCGAACGTAAATGTGAATATGAAAGTGAAAGTGAAAGTAGATGTATAATGTTGCACGTCTGAATTAGTGAAAATGAAGGAATAGAGATAGGGTGTTTCTTTTTTTTAAAGTGAAGAAGTAAGAAAACGAAGACTGCGCAAGATTAAAAGCAAGGAGAGGAAGTCTTGGAAAAATAAAACAACTTTAGAAATCGTATATTATAAAAGGTATCTCGTATAAGTAGTAAGTCAGTAGTCTTAGTATGAAAAAATAGATTTAATTTACCCAACAAATATTTGCTTTTTCACATAACCTCTTTCCTTCTAAATGTAATTAATCGAATGGCTTATATTTAACGTAGAGAATATTAATTCAATCTTTTATCGTGGATACTCGTTTGATAAAAATAACGTTTAAAGTAAAAAAAAAAACAACATCGGTTAAAATGGATCCATTAATTCTTTAGAAATAGTTACAATATAAATATACTCTGAAAACTGCAGTTCACGTTTTGCTTAAAATTAAGTGCCTACGACAGATTAAATGATCCAACATTGCATATTGTACATAGTAAGATATGCTTATTTACTAATTCATATTTATCGCAACGTTGTAATTGCATTATAGCCACTGAAGATCAATATGAAAAACCACTTATAAAAAACTTCTGAACGACCTCACTAAAAGGTTCATCACGATGAGTTTTATTTACTTGATTTTGTTTTGCGGCACATCAACATTTCTATGGGTTATTTAATGCCAAAATCCAAATATTTTGTACGCAATTATATATATATATATATATATATATATATATATATATATATATATATATATGATAGCTGGCCAGTCATATTCGAGTATATCCGTCTACCAGGTCGGCTAGCCAATCCCTATTTCAGAAGCTTACTCAGGCATATCTGTGTTTGATCAACACTTCAGAAACCACCTATGGTTTATAATGCAACTATGCTGAGCTGACCTTAGTTACAGTTTCTGGGAGAGAGCGTGTTATCTAGCGTAATCAACAATTTGAACAAGGCCAGCGCGCTCATGCCCTCGGTCACGATGACTTGCAGCATTGTGCTAGCACAGCTATCAACGAAGGTTTTCAAATATATATATATATATATATATTTTAGAAATTTTATTATGACAAAAAAAAAAAAAGGATTTCATGATTAACATGTTACTCTCGTCAAAATGTCCTCCTTAAGCCTTAATCATTGCAGCAGAATTTTCTAAAAGTATAAGTCTGATAATTGATTCTATTCTATTTTCAATGACTCTAAGATGTCAATTTCATTTCTATTTCACTCATCTGTCAAGCTAATTCCATGTTAATTAAGGTAGTGGCTTCAAACTTTCAACTGTAGTGTATATGAATCTGTACTTGCATATATATATATATATATATATATATGTGTGTGTGTGTGTGTTTGTGTGTGTGTCTGTGTGTGTGATTGTGTATATATGTATTTTTGTTTTGGTTTTATTTAGCTAATGCATTTTAGCGGCACATCAACATCTATTGGTTATTTGATGCCAAAATCTAAATATTTTGTACACACTTTTTTAATAATAGAGCTAGTATTTTTTATACTTTCTTAGTGAACTACCAAATAAAAATCAAAACACTATTTTCCCATAGTTGAGACATATAACAGGTACTACCACCCCCGGTTAGGGTTGAACTGAGAACAACAGCAATTAAGATTTGGTTCAATGCAACTCATAACGTTCAATCTCTCGATCTAAGTTCTTACAGCCTGATATAGTTTATAGTCACACCCAGGATTAATAAGATATGAACTGCAATATATGCATTTTTATAGAGATATTAGGAATAGCGTAAAAATGTATGCCTTTATATGAAAATATTAGGAATGAGGTAAAAATATATGCATTTATATGAAATATTAGGAATGAGGTAAAAATAAAAGAACAATGAAAATTTAAAAAAAAAATCAGAAACAAAATACAAAGACGAAAAAGAACAGAAGTAAGAATACGAAATTATACATAATTAAAGGACGAAAATCCTTCCAATAGTTTGGATCATTTTAGACAAAGTCCCAGCAGCTTCATGCGCAGGTGTAAGTTATGCTTAGAAGAAAAAAAAAATACAATAAGTAAAGCAAAGTATTGTATCAGAGAAACGAATTAGTTGTCAAATGTCGACATAAAAACAAATTCAAATATCCATATAATGTTGCTTTAATTAGCTGCCCTCTCTATCACACTCACCCTCTCCAATCTTCGACATAATAACAAATATGAATTACCATAGTATAATTTTGCCTTTTTAACTAACATAAGTCCGTCCCCAACTCCCACCTAGCATAAAAACTTCTTATGCTCTATTAATTATAATTTATAAACTTTCCTCTGC